TATTACCGCAATGTGAAACATTTTGTGAATAAGGAATTGATATAATTTATGCTACATCGTTGCACTTTGCTCTTCCGAAAGTCGACACTTGTCTTCAAGATGAACCTTTACTACAAGGTTTTGTGCTCATCGTTTACCTTTACGCATATGTTTATCAACCCAATGTGCTATATAGCGGCCAGGGTTTAAGTCACACCTTAGGAGAATAAACGAAGTTCTCAGATCTCACAACGTATCTTTTTTGGTTTTGGTGCAATGGATAAATGAGACTCAGTGCTTTCCATTTAGATCCTTGTCTACTTCCCCAGTCTTCTCCGTCATTTCATGATTCCAAATTCACCTTTGTCACAATGATTCTCGGGATCCTGATCAGTTACCCACTTTGAGCATCAGTATTAAATTCGTCTGGAGAAACGGTCTTTCTAACGGTGTATTCTTTGTCACCACGGCTAAATCACTTATCCAGAAACTGGAGTACATAAGTGATTCCTTGTGTGTCTGGGAGACGATAATTCTAACTGCCCTTGTAATCATGCATCCTGCATGCCTTAGTACAAAGATGGACTTCGTATGAACAGCATGCATGGATTCCGCGATCGTTATTGAGAACAGCTTTCACCAGTCTACATACAGATATGAATGGCAACTAACCAGATACCCGAAAAAGGATTCGGGACAGCTGGTAATTTGGATTTCATTATGTGTAGGAAATACATGCGCACATCTATACAAAGAAACCAATTGTAAGTGAGGAGGCTTTAGATTTCGGCAACATACAAATTCACTGTCAGAAATTTCATAGAAAGCTGAGTGAAATATTTTGTGACGCAGATTCACTGAATAGCTTTCGCATGCAACCTGTAAATCGTCACTGAGATTGAAATATTTCAGATGGATGATAGCTGTTCGTTCCAACTCATTTCTTTCAAGGGACACTCCGTCGCTCATGAAAAGGACCAATGGTACCAAAATTTTGAAGCATGGTAAACAAGGTGATGATGTAAAAGTTATCTCACTCCAACAAAGTTGGTTGCATCCAGCCACTGGGTATGGTGTTGTATTCGCCAATTTCGAGGGTGATCGGATTTTAAACTTCTGCAACAAAGGGGACACAGTGGCCATCTTTTTCAACCAAAATTAATTTTAAAACCACCTTAGTTTCATTTACCTTCAGCAGAATGAACTGCGTTGTTGTTCGTTGTAGCTTCCAATTCCTCAGCGCGTTGCGTTTCATTATTTCTGCGAACATATATACTCGATTCAATCTTTTCACTATTTACCAATATTATTTTTATGCGATTCGCCGCCCATTGATTAGTCTTTGTTTACCATGACCGGGTACTTCAATCTTTTCTAAATATCCCTCTTCATGAGCCTGGTTGGAGGAACCTTTTACATTTGCTTACACTCCCTGATGCTCAGCTTGATGGCATTTATCCTAATCTCCCTGATCTGTTTTTCATCCGGGTAAGACCCTGTAGGCCAACCAGGTTAGTGTTTTGTACTCAAATGATGATCTGTTTAGGCTCAGTAACTTATTCGCTTCTACCCACTTATCAGTATTTTCCAATACCTGTAAGATTGTGTTTTGAAAATCTCAACCTGATTTTGTTTGTGGCCAGAGTAACCCTGATGAAACCATTCATTTTCCCTTTTCCAAACGTGAATTAATTCTGCAAAACAATCATTTTGTGTTACCGCTAGGAGCTGCATAGGAAAGAAAGTATCCTTTACGACAAAATTTTATTAAACTAGACCGCACTTATTGGACTTTGAAACTGCTTTGGATAATCAGAGTCGTCGGGGGATATGGCCTACTTCAACGCATCCCTTTATCACACGTCACCTTCTCCCTTGGCTTTGAATAGGCAAATCGCATTTCAATACTATATCTGATGTCAAATTGCGTCCATCAAATTTCATAATTGGTGGAAAATTAAACGGTTTCTACGGCCCAAAGTATCAATGTTTCAGAGAACGTTTTGGCCAACATAGCTGATTGTTTGAATTTTTATTCAGCTTCTTCGAACTGTTGAACTATTGCGAATGACCCCTCTGTAGCGAATGGTCCTCCTTTTTATTTACTTTACTTTGCACGAAAATCAACATTTTTCACTGTTCATTCTCTTACCTACGTTCTACATTCTGTTGCGTTCCTCTTGGAGGATCACACATGCATTGTTCATCTAACTTTCCTTCGTTACCTAAGACACTTTTTGATTGCTCGACCCAGTGGCTTCCTGATTCTGTTCTTAGATTTTCAACCGCAATCAACACTTAAGGTATCCTTTCTTCTCTACGAGCGGACAAAAGACTGCTGGGGCAGGACGTTGATGTTGACGCTTTTGATGTTGCATACCGTCACCAGTCAACAATCATTTTTCCTTCCCACTAAACATGAAGCACTTGTAATCCAATGCCATTATCAAATTCTAATCTACATAAATTATTGGTTAATTCTAATTCTTCTTCTGTTCAAGGTCTGAGCGATTCATTTCTGTCACTTCATATCTATAACTGCTTTCCTAAATAGATCAGTCACTGCTACTATAAATAAATCACTTTTATGAAGTCCAAATTTTGGAAGTCGATCACAGTCATAAGGATATCAAAAATACACAGATCCTTTTATCTCTCCAAGTATTTTCGCCCCATAGCCTCGATAAATGCTGAAAAGGCTATAACTAAACGTCCAAGGATTACGGAATTTTCGTGTGCGGATCGAACAGATTCATTTTCGATGCAGTCTTCAACTGTATTGATTTCATTAATAAGTCTTTGGAGTTTTATACTCGTCATCTTTTGGTGAATCAGGTAATGTAATTGTTATTCGCTTACTTGCTGAGCGGCAAGGTCCGTGAGGCCCGTCGTATGCTTTTGGTAAGTTTTTTCTGTCATTCATCTACAATTCACTGTAAACTCATCGAGTTTTCTGCGGTTAGATAAAAATGGCCCACAAAACTGCCATTGGAATATCGTGATGACTTTTCGAGGTTGACGTATCTGGAAGAGGATAGTCATGATTTTTGCTTATATATATTGTCGAATTCTCAGTAGCCCTAGTCTAACCACAACGAGTAGTTGAAAGTCGTAAGCCATTATCGTAGATTTTTGTGTGGTTTGAACCAAGCTCCGATACACAAGCGCGGACACGCGTGTGGGCATCTCTGCATGGAACACAACTCAGAAGACGGTGAAAGCTTCTTGAGACACCCTAGATGATGTGTATGATAGAGTCAATTAATACCAGACGGAAGTGGCTGTTGCGTAATAACACTAATTACCCCAGAGTCGGGACCAGAAATCACAGCAGGTTTATTGTGTAACCGAGTGTTGAGGTAATGAACCAACCACACAGGCATGAATGCTCCAACGGACTGGTCAACGAAATGATAAGTTCATGCGATTCTATATCGTTGCCCCACCTCGAGAATGGTTGCTTACCTTCAGATACATGCTGCCCGGTTGATAGTTTAACTAAAATGCCAAATGGGGTTGTCTGGCTGATTGAAGCACGAAGTACACCTTTCTAGCAAAGGGAATAGACTTGAGTTTATTGGATTGCGACCTTGTGTGAGTACAATTCACGGAATCTTATGACTGGTGCTATTCGGACAACGCCGCGCTTAACAACGAGAATGCCAATGATATTGGACTCTTAGAACGAAACCCCGAACTATGCTGAGACGTTCGTGCCTGTTTGCATTAAAGTTGAATTTTTATGTTTATGATAGTTTACGATTTCTCTTCGGACAAAAAAAAACAAACTAAAAGAAAAATATCAAAACTTTACGGGGAAACAAACAAAACGGGGGTTAAGTCTCCACCACTATGTTAGCCTTCGTTATATTTCTCCGTTTAACACCTTTGGATGTGACAAATATACAGGAAAAACTGTTATTCACCTCAACCGTCTGACTCCCTTTTTCTGTTTTATATCTGAAGCCCCCATTGTTCTGCTACTCTTGTTGTTGCGTTGGCATCAAGCTTGCTCGCAAGCAGGTGATATATATATATGTGAGGGAGAGAGAGGAAAACGAGAATGAAAGAACACCACAGCAACTGAACTCGGCCCGCCTAGTAAGGAACTCAAATCGCTATGCGATACGAACCGTTTACCATGATCAAGTGTGTGTATGTGGAGTTGAATCGTAGCGTAGTCCTAGGTCCTGAAAACGGTATGAAACTTTCTACTGAGGCCATAACTTTCTCGAAATAAACCACCTGTTTTGGTTCTAGTTCAAATGTTCGAGCAATGAAGATTCATTTAAAGAAAAGCTTAACACTGGCTTCAAAATACAAAGCAAGAAATTGTAACGTTTGCATTGGATGAAGAAACTAAATCCAAATCAAATAACATACTCGTGAAAAGCTTATACATACAAATACTAAAACCGTTTTTGGATATGCTCAAATTCCCTGCTGTGTTCTGTTGACACGGTCGATGGTGACGATGTCACCTCGGCTGGTGGTGAAACGTTTGAAAAAAAATTGCACAGTTCGTCGAGAAGGCAAAATGGAATTCAGTTCACCCGATCCGCGGGGACTGATTCCAAATATTTTGTCAACCTATTTAACAATTTTCATTGGTTGGTAATATATCACAGAAACTATAGTCGTATTGCCTGAAACGAAAGTGGGATTCATGCGATAAACTGAGACCTATTTTCATCTTTCACTGCAAGCACAAGCTTGCAGCTTGTTTATCTGACAAAAAGGTAAAACGGTCATCGTACCTTACAAGGGACCCTAAGGTTCCACACAAAATGAGCTTATATGGATGGTAGAGTAAGTTGTGTTTACTTCATATTTGTCTGGATCCTCCAGTTGAAGCGAATTGAACTGTTTTGCCGCATATCATATACGTGAAGAACTGTGATGTAATTTCTGAGGCTCCATTGTTTACCTTCAAACGAATCTCAAATATATTTATTATCGTTTTGTGCAACTCGAAAATCAATTATAATGCAACTCAGATGAAATAAGTCAACGGTAAAACATCAAACCTTTTTAGAGATACTGGTGTTTTTTGTATCTCGACGTGCTTTAGTATTCAGCGTCGCTGTTTGACTTGTAGCAATTGTCGGCTGTGAACTGTGAGGTATCGAGAAAATTTGATTAGGTACACCATTGCCTGAATCTTCCATCATTTTTTCCTCATCATACAGAAGGTCGAAAAGTCCCATTTGTTCTTTGGTAACAGTTTTGCTTCCCTTTGCATCAGGAATAATTCCATTTGGTATAACAATGTTGATGACGTCATTCACTAGTTTATACTTCAGAATTCGGTCGCTGGCAGTGGTTGCAGACAAAGAAGGAGATGCGTTTACTTCGATTAACCATGGTTTGAAGTTATCGTCGATGATAATGTCATAACCGTAACACTCGAAACAATGGCGGTCGTTAATTAAAACGTTTGCCACGGCTCTCAACGAATGAACAATTATCCAATGTATTTCATCGAAGAGCTTGTCTGATACAGCTTTTCCTTTTGTTCCTTCTAGCCATAGTCGGAAATTTTCGGTCGTCCACTTGCCTCCATGAATACTATTGTAGTGAGCGCCGTGCTTCTGAATAGATACATTCGTTAAATGAACAAACATATTGTCCAGTTCCGTTACATTTGAGTTATACTTTACGGTACAAAATCGACAAAAACCTAATTTATAAATGTAGGCTTTCAAAGGTCTGAAGCTAGTTACTAATATGTACAACCTCAAGTCAAATTTCTTTCCTCCAATCAGCAAAGGATTGTCTATGTAGCGCGAAATAACGTAAGTATCTCTGCTGCATGTTGGGGTTGATCCAATCATGCCTGATCGGCCCTCTCTGGACCACCTTTTTAATTGCGAAAGTTTGTTGATGAGAAATATTCCTATGCCCCTTGCTTTACTGCTCGGTTTCATTATCCATGTAGAGGAGGGGTTTCTTTTGAACTCTTCTGTAAATAAGTTGTAGTCTTGAGGTATCATGTAGGTCACAGGAATAAAATCCAGGTACATATAACGTCCAGTATCGTCCCGGGCTCCCAAAGGGTTT